TGGGCTTCTTCTTACCTATGAATACAAGTAAATAAAATACATTTTAAAAAACTTAATCTTTGTTACAATGGAGGTACCATAAAAGTAATTGCTACTTGATGAGTGTCCAGGAAATTCTAACAAAAATATGGGAAATAAAAATAGAACCTGGCGAACATTCTTTTGTGACACAGAAGATATCAAGTAATGACATTTTCTCTGAATTATAAATATGACTTCCTAGACTTACATAAAATAACATTCCCACCAAGAATGTTTTGTTTAAATTTATTTTAATTTTAGGATTAAATAAATTGTATCCTCAGTTCTCTAACAAATGTCTTTGGAAGCCATTCATAGATATATGCAAGTAATCAAGTTCCATGACTAGCTTTTTTTTAAAAAATTAAATATGTATCAGGAATGATGAGTAAATGAAAACTTAGAAGGTTATTTCAGACCATTCCTAGATACAAACCTGTATACCATTACTAAAAATAAAACGATAGAGTCCTCATGAGCTCAATTTTTGTATTTACCAGTTTAAATATATTTTTATAATTCATAATATAAGAATACAAATACTTATGTGCACATATAATATACATTTTTATATAGCAACATGTAAAATATTATATATTTCTACTTAAAATATTAATTGCCCTGGAAATGCCACATATATTTGGGAGTAATTAAACCAGGCATTCAAGCTTCCAAGGCCCCAAAGAAAATACAAACAAAATTTCTCAAATGTAATGTTATTTTGCAAAAATGTTTTAGACTGATACCTTTACTTTTATCTTCACAATAATCCTGATCATTGAAGATATAAAATATACATTTGTAGCACTGAAAGAATGTCAACAGGTGGTAAATATTGGAGATAACTAAATGGTTAGCTATCAACGGACAGCAGGTGGAAAAACAACTGTTTAAAATTGATCACCTCTGCATTACCTGAGAAATCTCTTCTAGAAGCAGAGAAGTAGAGAGATGAGGCAAGCTTACTTCTTAGAGTCCTCTCTCATTTCTAAAATAAGGATCTTACTCATGTTCAACCTTGGCTGCAAATTAGAATCATCTGAGGTCTTTAAAAAGTCTCCAAAACTAGCCTAAATGCCTGCTAAATTATATCAGAATTGGGAGTATTGACACCCAGGTGTAAGCATTTTTGAAGCCTGTAACCTTTTGAAGATGCAGCCTAGGCTCAGAACCTTGGCTTATGATGATTCCAGGTGCACTGTTTTGAGGTTTCTTAAAAACTACTTTGTAACAGATTTTTGGCAGAAAAGAGGACAAGAAAAATGTACCTTGACCTATCTAAACTTCCAGACACTAAGAAGAATTCAGCTTTCACTTGCAAGTCTTTAAGCTCCTAAAGAGAGCCACATCCTGCTGCCCTGGAATGACTTTGGCATTTCCAACAAATTTAAACAAAAATTAATACATCATCCTTTTCCAATTAAGTAGACACCACAGTTGTGACCTTCAACAAAATAAACTGCAACTAAGGCAGTGAGTTGAAAAGAAAAAGAAAAGAAATGGTAATAGCCTGGGATGGGGTGATATATGGGTTTTCATAGCACAGTTTTAATGCTGTTTGTCTGCATTGCTTATCTGAATCGCTTTCCATTTCTGGTGTCTTTAAACATTCTCCTTTCTTTATGACATGTACTATTATGATCCCTGACACTAAACGCATTGTAAGGATTCTGCTATACTTTTATGCTAAAAACTGAAGTTACACTTCTTTGAATTAATGTATTGTAACACTTGAAAACTAATACAATGTAAACAGTATAACTTTATTTAAAGTTAAAGTAACATCCTACTAAAAATTTTCTTCAAGTGTTTTCATGTTATCTTGGCTTTAAGAGATCCTAATACTTGTTTCACGTATTTATTGACTGCTTTATATGTGTCAGGCACCACAACATATGCTAATGTTTTATGTGAATTTTCGTATTTGATCTCCTCAACAACTTTCTCAGGTTGGTGTTGTAATTATCTCCATTTAATAGACATGAAAGATGAGTCTCAGAAAAGTTAAGTCATCTGATCAAGGCATTAAAATTAAAAAGTAGCAGAAAAGAGATTTTTACTTAGTCTGACTAATGAATCCTACCTCTTAAACATTCCATTATGCAAATGTAAACACCAAACATATTACTGTGTATTAATTCATATTTTTTAAACTAAAAGTGGTAGGATTCTTGGTGATATGTTTTCTGTTCTTCCTCCTATATTTATTTTTTCCAAATTCTATAAAGTATATATTTTATAAAAAATGAATATAATTAGGTATTGTAATAGTTATACAAAATGAGTTTTTTCAGAATGCCATTAATTACACAAGCTTTTTTATTAATTTGCCTTTTCTGAGCACTGCTATGCATCTAGCTCTACCACACAGCAGTAGAAAAAATATTAGTCACTTTTTTTGTACATTATTTACAATGCCAATTAATCCTGTCTTAAATGTTACACAAAGACACACACACACACATACACACACAGGCATGCTATTCACTAGCTCTGTGGGTTAGGAGGATCCTAATTTATAGTGTTTGTCAATTTCTATAGTATAAATACTATGAATTTGAATCTACTAACATGATGTCATTGAACACAAATTGCAAAGAGATATGCAGTAATACACTATTATATAGTATTTCCACTATACAGATGCAAAATATACAATATCCTTAACAGCATAGATTATAGCACTACGTAGTAGCTTTGGTATTTACCACACTGCCATTGGTAGAATTTATTTAATTGTAAGTATATATAACATTTAATAATTCCCATTAAATGTTTAACATTAAATATATAACATTTAATAATGCCTGTTAAAAATGCCAATTAAACAGTTGAATAGTACAAATTCTGTAAATTTAACAGTCAACATTTGCAAGCATGTATGAGTCAGCTTCAACAGACCACTGGAGTATTTATCATTCTAAATATACACATGCACGCTCTATTTTTTGCATTAGCAAAATAGGCATAGAAAAATCATGACTCTCAGTTTAAATATACATGAGAGAGTATCTCAGCAAAATAATGGGAATAAATGCACTTTTGTCATAAACATTCCATCTGTTAGCTTACACATAAATCCATACTCATGTTACTTCTTATACTGAGTGTCTTTGCAGCCCTCACCTCTTTTCACTCCATACCGTCTCTTCAGGTAATTTTATTTATTTCCAATATTTAACCCTATTCACTGTGATGATATCTAATCTTATATCTTTATTCAGATGTCTTACCTCACTTCCAGATTTAAATACATAATCATCTACTGGATATGGGCACTTGGTATTATGACAGAAATTCAAAACACAGCAGGTTAAAAACAAATCAGTTTGACTTCCCTTTTAAAACCTCCTCTTGCCTTTACATCATAGTGAATGAATGCAAGGACTGTTATTCTTGATTTCCTCCCTTCATGCTTTCCATTTAGTCACTAGGTCATTACAATTTTATGACTCAATAACATTTTGAATCCTATTTCCAGTGTCGGCGACATAAAGTAGGTCACCATCCTCTCCTACATAGGTTACAAGATTGTCACATGGTTTGTTTCTACAGTAGTTGGGGTCATTTCATGCAAAATGCAGATTGGATCCCCTGGTTTCTACCTTGGCATTTTATATATTTGAAAGAATATTATTTTCTACGTAACAAACATATAATATCATAACAAAGACATAAAAGATACATCATCTCCTGTGAATTTGTATCCAAGTATCTAGAAAACAAAAAAGGAAACAAACAAAAAATAACCTGATCTACTACTAAGAATAAATCCTGCAGTTTTCTTGTTGTCTCTTACAGAAAATTAGGCTTCAATCTCCAAAAGTTGAGGGCTGTGTCACTTCAAATGTGTTGTCTTAGTTACCAGCAGAGTACTGGTACATAGAAGAAAAACAATGTAGTTGAATACAAAGCACTAAACAAATAATAATATATAATTTTCTAAATTCCAAATAAGTAAAATTTCTAAGAAGAATTTATAAGGAAATTTATAAGAAGAAGGGTATATAACAAGTGTCATTTGAAATTTATAAGACAATTTATAAGAAGAAGAAGGGCATAACATAAGTATTTCAAATGAATTTTCTAGAAACATCATTCTGGACACTAAATAATGTTAAATAGATCAATGAGCTCAGCACAGTCATCTCTCTGAAGAAGGAAGACATATGCAGACATAACATTCAAGGGATGACCAAGGGCCAAGAGTAGGAAACACTCAGCTGTAAAAGCAAGCACTGAAGAAAGAAAAAAATAATTCTAACTGGGAGGGTAAGAAACAATTCACTCCAATTAGAGAGAAACCGGCACCTTGATTTTACAAAGGGCAATGATGAAAGGGTATCTGATGGGTTTGGTTGAAGATTCTCCGCAGAAACTTAAGCTGTAGTTCTAACAGTGAATGTAACAGGTATGCACCATAATAAAAACAATAAATTTAAATGGTGGGAGTACTAATACATTAATTATTTTTAACCTTTTTCTAATAAACCCTTGCAATTTTGTACTCCTCCCTTCGTGAACCTGTGACTTTTAAAATTCACAATTTTATATATATATATGTGTATTATATAATTTTATATATAATCAAATATATATTTATATGTATTATATTTATAATACATAATATAGTATGTATATAATATATACTATAAATATATATTTGCTATATAACATACCTTACATATATGTTATATAAAATTATATAATATACGTAATATATTATATAAAACATTTTATATTATATATTTTATATATAATATATAATATGATATATATTATATAAATATATAATTATATATTAATTAAATATATTATCTATATTATATTATGTATAATATAATGATATATTAGACATATAAAATATATCACATATATCAAATATAATATATATCATAATATATTATATAAAATTACATATAAAATATTTGCATATATATGTACATATATAAATATATAGACACAAACACACACATATAAATATTGACTCATTCATGCTCAGGAATAAAAAATTTGGCTGCTTTACCCAATCTCCTAGAAGAAAAAACAAATAACATATTTTGGTCACTATGTTGTCTTTTTCTATACGTGAGCTGAAAATTGCTTAAAACTGCATACTGGGAAATGTAAGGATTTATATTAGGAAAAAATAAGACCTCTCTAAATAAAAATCAAATGAAATTAGATGAAGATGGCCAGATACTATGGAAAATTAGAAGAATTATTATTCTGAGTACTCACATCACAATAACACTGAGTTTGGCACTAAGGAAACTGAGGCATCAAGAGGTCCTGTGATAGGATTGTCTTACAACTCTCACCAGGCACTACATATCACTGTGGCTATTTTTAGCCAATTCTGAAGAACTTGAAACCAGTCAAATATCCTCATTTATGAGTCATCTTTTTGGATATAGAGAATAATTATTCCATGACTGAAATGTTTGTTTTTATTATACACACCTGTATCACATTATATTATTCAAGATTTTAAAAATATTATTTGTGAGGGTACTGCTTAGGGATTAAGTCCCAAGCATACAAAAATTACAATTTTACCACTATTAAAAAGATAAATAATATGAGCAAAACTTAAACAGCATCCAAACTTTTAATGGACATCTTTGTAAAACAGAACATTCTGTAGTACATCAAATTAGACTTACTAAATTCTATCTTAAACAATTAACTTTCTTGTTATTTTTTTTTAAATAGGCAATCACCAAACTATGGTCTTCTAAATGATTTTCTATCTTTTTTTCTGTGATAAGCCAAGATAAATAATAAATATTTATTATTTATTTCAAAGACAAGGCATACATTTATTCATAGAAAACTAGTTACAGCAACAACTAGTAATTTCCTCCACCTATTCAGGGTCAAAAACAGTCTAGTTGTAATAATGACTTTAAACAGATATATTTTGAGTTGGAAACAAATATAATGTGCCCATAAAATTACAAAGCTGTTTTGTCCAAAGTCATGAGTCTTAATGAGACTGAACCTTTCCTCATCCTTTGGAGGCTTAACACTAAGAGGACTAAGGGTGTGGTTTCCTGACAGATGGGTAAGGCGGTCTGCAGCTGTGCATTTTACCAATGACCAGTTTCAAAGAACTTACCCGGAATGTTTCATGATGAACACTAAAAAACTACGTTATCATGTACTTATTTTGCCTGAGTTTTGTTAGGTAAACAAACACTTTGAATCTCTACTTTTCAGTGAAAAGGCAGAACAAAACTAATGAGAAAAATCAGCTTTGAAATTCTTAGAAGTCCTTCAGTACATATAAAAACACAGACAATAATATAATAAAGTTAAATTATGTTGTTTTGAATAATTTTTAAAAGAGAAACATTAATATTACATAAGGATCTCACACAGATTAAATCTTTGTAGTTCATAAATTGACTAGTTACAGATAAAAACAGTACGTCAGAAGATTTATTTCATTCTACTTATTTGACTCTCCATCCTGAAAGTAGCATTTCCCTAATCTACCCACTTTAATTCAAAAATAGTAAATCTCAGAAATAAGCAGTAAGAAAGTCAGATGTAACACATCATTAGGTATTTGCATGAGTGGTTCTTAAGTTTTTCTGTGCTCAACCCTTGAGATTTGCATTTAGAAGTCAGTCTGGTATCCATAGCACTCATTTGAATAACAAGTGAAGTTCAGACAAGTGATCAGAGAACTAGATCTTTCCAACATAGTGCCCAAAACAAAACTCTTTTCTCCAAAGATGATTTCTGGCTGTCAGCATTTATTTCAGTGTAGGACCTACAAATTTAAGTTTTTGAAGATTGAAACAAAAGCACCATTAAATGTTATTTGTTTTGTCTAAAGTAGGTTGGTGGAGGGAATTTGGAGGAAGATTTGCTCATATGAGTTGTCCTTAAATGCACCTTAAAGTCCCCTGGGACTTTGAAAAATTACTGATAACTGGAGTCTAACCCCCCCTCCAAAATCTAATTTAATAGATCTGGGGAAAAATTCCCAGGAGTCAGGCTTTTTAAATGTAAATACGCCTAAGCACACTTTAAAAAATATTTACACTAAGATTCTAATGTGTAACCAGTTTTGAGAGTTGTGAACTTAAGAAAAAAAATACTTTTCTGAAGATACTTATACCCCAGAAAATACTCTCCATATCAAACCTGTGATATTTATTGCAATGTAATACAAGATATTTTCTTTTAACTTATTCCAACATCATTAGTTTTTGTTTTGTGTTAAGCAGTTAGATGATTCTGCCTAAGAAACAGCTAGGTTCTCTATGAAAGAAAAGCTCCCTTCCAACATTCTTCCAGTGACTATGGACATTTTACAAGCTGGGTTACTACCTTCCATTTTCCTCCTAATCTTTCAATGGAGTTGTTATCATACTTGAATCCACTCTGGTGATTATATACACTGGGCTTTAAAGACAACACATTACTTGCTGTTACTTTACAAAGCACAAATAAAAGGTAGGTACCTTGCTTTTGGCCCCTGCATCTGGAAGCTTAGAGGCAATATTCCTGGGTGGGAGTAACATCTGAGTGGGATTTGACGCGATTAAACTTAAAGGGGGAGGAGGCTGATCACGGAAAACGGATGTCAAGCAGAGCTGCACAGTCTCTTTCATTGCTTTCATCTGTGACTCCTACAAAAAAGAGGCATTAACATATTTATATTTAGCTATGCTCATCGATTATCTGCTTGCATTCTCCCTTTCCTTTTAGCCTAGACTCCCCACAAAAATATATATCGGTTTTCAAATGTAATTGCCTAATATATAAATTTCATTATGACATACTTTTTTATCCACACTCGGTCTGTTTCTAGGAGCTAATGCATTTCATGATATATTTTGAACACCAAAATACAAAGATAAATCTTATTACTTTCTCTTGAACTAACATGATTTCCATCACGATAGTTTGCAGGAAAGGAAATATACTCTAGGTTACTCTGATGTCGAAAATATCATTTTTTGAAAGTTACCATCTTTATTTAACTTTTATTTCAGGTTTGGGGGCACGTATGAAGGTTTGTTAAATAGGTAAATGTGTGTCATGAGAGTTTGTTATACAGATTATTTCATCTCCCAGGTCTTCAGCCCAGTACCCAGCAGTTATCCTTTCTACTCCTCTCTACTCTTCTCCTTTCTCCCATCCTCCACCCTCAAGTAGACCCCAGTATCTGTTGTTTTCTTCTTCGTGTTCCTAAGTTTTCATCATTGAGCTCCCTTGTGGGAGTGGTGGGTATTTAGTTTTCTGTACTTGCATTAGCTTTCTAAGGATAATAGCCTCTAGCTCCATCCATGTTCCTGCAAAAGACATGATCTCATTCTTTTTTATGACTGGATACTATTCCATAGTGTATATGTATCACACATTATTTATCCAGTCTGTCATTGAAGGGTATTTAGGTTGATTCTATACCTTTGTTATTGTGAATATTGCTGCAATGAACACTCACATGCATGTGTCTTTATGGAAGAAAAATGTTTATTACTCTTGGTATATACCCACTAATGGGATGGCTGGGTCAAATGATTGTTCTGATTTTAGCTCTTTGAGGAATTGCTATACTGCTTTCCATGATGGTTGAACTAATTTACACTCCCACTAACTACATAAGTCTTCCCTTTTCTCTGCAACCTCACAAACATCTGTTATTTTTTAACGTTTTAATAACAGGCATTCTGACTGGTGTGAGATGGTATCTCATTGTGATTTTTATTTGCATTTTTCTAATAATTAGTGATATTGAGCTTTTTCATATGCTTGTTGGCCACATGTATGTCTTCTTTTGAAAAGTGTCTATTCATGTCCTTTATCTACTTTTTAATGAGGTTGGTTTGTTTTTCTCTTATAAATTTAAGTTCCTTATATATGCTAGATATTAGACCTTTGTCAGATGCATAATTTGCAAATATTTCTACCTATTCTATAGGTTGTCTGTTTACTCTGTTGATGAAACTTGCCATCTTTCTTTCTGCATCTACTTTCTGTATTTAGAATCATTGCCATAGCAATGTAGATTCTTACGTTTCTCAGATTAGCCTATACCTCTACTTGATTTCCCCACATAATGGAAAAAACAAATTTGTCTCTGATAAAACTCTCATTTCCTATGGGCCTTCCTTGTTAGATAATAGTGTCAGGGGCGTTTGAACCAGAGCAACCCCATTTTGAATAGGGGCTAGGCTTAGACCTACTGGGCTGCATTACCAGATTAGGCATTAAAAGTCACAGGGTGAGACAGGAGGTCAACACAAGATATAGGTCATAAAGACCTTGCTGATAAAACAGATTACAGTCAAGAATCCTGCCCAAATACCCAAAACCAAGAAGGTAATGAGGGTGACCGCTGGTCATTCTCACTGCTCATTATATACTAATTATAATGCATTAGCATGCTAAAAGACACCCCCACCTGAACCATGACATTTTACAAATGCCGTGACAAGGTCACGAAGTTACCCTATATGGCCTAAAAATGGGAGAAACCCTCAGGTCCGAATTGCCCACCACTTACCTAATGCCTATTAAGTTCCTCTAACTTAATAGAGTCTATTACTCATACTCAGATTTGGCTTGACTCAGTTCCATGAGCAAAACCCAGAGGATGATTTTATACCACGATGGCATTACATTTTTATTTATACTGTTAGGTGTCATTTATTTTAAACTGTAGGCTACTGTTTACTTTGAAGTTTGCTAAAACAAGCTGTCACCTAATGAAATATCATGTAAACCATGTACAGCCAGTCTTGTTTTTGCTCTGTCTTTCCGCTCCCTGCAGCACACCACTTTTCCCCCTTGTTTCAAAATGTGATAGCAAAATGCAAGTTCCTTAACTAAAATGCCCTGTTTATCACAATATCCTTTGTATATAGACCCTCAAGCATCCCAAACTCATTTCCATATTACAGCCTTTACAAATGCTGCTTCCTCTGCTTGCAGAACCCTTCTTCCAAATACCCATATAGAAACTACCACTTAAAATATATGTATCAGCTCACACACTATTTTCATGGAAACAGCCCCTATCACCCTTTCCAGGAATGCGTCTTTCTTAAAATTGTTATTATATTTTCTAATATTATATCTTATTTAATCCTTACCAACATTTCAAATTATCTTGTTGTTTATATGTTTAATGTTCACTTTTAACAAACTTTTTTGAAGGCTGATATCCTTTTTGTGGCATCACCAGTTTCTAACACAACACATGCTTTTTATATAAAAAATTAAACAAACCCTCCAGAGAATATAAGTTAGTGCTCTGTTACAAGAGAAAATAATGAAATATTTCTCATTTTATCTTGTATATTAGAAAAGAAACTTATTTTATATATTAAAAAATACTACCACTTACACTATATAATATGAAAAGTTTATAAGAAATTATTTCTCATATGTGATCCTAAGATGGTGGAAGATTTAAGAGATAGTTTTGTTTTGTTTTGTTTTGTTTTTTTCTTTTTTTTTTTTTTTTTTGGTGTGTGTTAGTACTTTTCTCAGAAGAAAATGCATTTTGTCTGGGGACAACAAGATATGCATTGCAAAGACAACTGTGCCCCTAATATCTAATCTCTACACAAATGAAACTTTACAAGATATTTTTCATGTTACCTTAATTCTTTTGCATACAGACACCAAGTCCTCAACTGCAGGCTTTGGAAAGACCACGAGAGGCTGTGAGGCCAAACGCTTTCTCCCTAACTTTATTTCTGCCATGAAATCAGCTCAGAGAGCCTGGGAAAGTCATTCAATATTTTGGGACCTCTGCTCCAGTGATATTCAGGTCCCGTGTATGTAGGATGACTAGAATGCTTATTCATTTAGGTCAAGTCTTTATTTTTAATTAAGAAGTATTTGTTATATTCCTGCTATGTGCCAGATACTGTGTGGTGGCAAAAAGATTTCTCATTCTGTTATTACTCCGTCATTGGAGTCTATGCAGGTCACCTATTTTACCTATGTCATCTGTAATATGGATGTAATAATGCATGCTTTCCCGGATGAAATTTTGTGTGGGACAGAAACTACACCAATACTTTTAATGTAAAAGTTTGAGAGATTTTTCTTAGCATAAGGCTTCTTTTATATTCCAATAGCTGAGGCCAACCATATATAATTCATAAGGTATTGCCAAATAAATAATTGATTGGAAACTCAAGGTTGATTCTTAGCTCTTGATAATATTATTGTTTATACTGAGATACTAAACTGAGACTTCTTTCATTAAATATGTCATACGAATCAAGTTGAAGTGTTAAGAGTTTTTCATAATATGTATGAAGTACTTAAGATTATTTGAATTCCAGATATTACATTCTTGGGAACTAGATACTCTAAGAGTATTTTAAAAACCTCATATAAAGATGATGGAGAGAGGTGAAAATCCATTTCATTAAACTGTAGTTTTTATCCTTTTGAAGTCAGCTAGCATTTCTATCTTACTTGATGGCTACAGTTTATGAGCCTCATATGTATCTTACACGTGACTTGTTAAAATCAGCCTCCAGTAATATAAAAGGCATTTACAGTTACCAAAAGGCGTGACAAGATCTCAAGGTTAAAGAGGGAATTGTTATCACAGAGGAGCAGTCTGTGATCTCATTCAGTAACAATAATAACTTCTAAGCTTACTTACTGAATGTTTTCCAGGCATTGTACCTAGTACTGTAATTTTTGGCTATATGTAATTTTCTCATCACCATTATAAATAAAGTTTATTGTAATTCCCAACGAGACATAAAGATTCTGAGGAATTTGAACATGATCATTTAGTCGAAGAGTCATGATTTGAACACAAGTAAACCATCTCTGGAGACCATTATTTAACCACTGAAACATCAGGCTCTCATCCTGAAATTTAGGGACATAATGACAGGGGTTAGGAGGTGGAATTGGGAGGAGAAGAGCATCAAATGGGTAAGAATACGTACAACTAAAGATGGAGGAACAACTCTACAATAACCCTGAGCTCTGTGACTCAGGCCAAATTCCAGTTGCAAAATAAAGTGTTTTGTGACTATACCGTGCCCTATGACCCACAGGCACTTACAAAATACATACGTATTCTCTGTGCTTCTGTTGCCTCATGTCTCAGCATACAATTATTTCCTAATTGTTAGTGCTAAACAAAATTGTGAGAGATATGGGACCCAAGACCTTGTCTCATATATTTTCTATTTTCCATTGTACCTAGCATAGGATGGCCACAACAAAAAAGGCACTTCAAAACTATTTAGTCATTGATTGACCAAAAGGATTATATGAAGTCAAATGGGAAAACACTTAGTATCATGAAGAATATTCCAAGAGTCAGAGAGGGTAACAACTCAGAGAAGACCAGCCTGCTTCAGAATCATGGGAATCTAATGATCTTCTAGGATTTAAACCATATTGCAGCGATTGTGCGTCCATTTATGTATATTTGTTAATATTATGTTTTAATTACTATTTCCAAATTTGAGTATAGAAAATATATAAAAATAGGTGCATTAATTATCTTATAGTAAACAGTTAAATTACTTCCATTTATTATTAATATAAACATTGCTGTACTCAGTATTATTGTGCATGTTTCCAAGCAAATATAGATAAATATAAATGATAAGATATACACATTCAAAAACTGGTTATAACAATTTGATACCAATAATTAGTTCCTTTTGCTTCGTAACTCAGTCACCCAGAGTTAATATATAGTGCCTTAGTTGATGTTTTAAAGCATGTTTATTCATGGTATTATGGAATAAACATACTAGTGAGGTGAAAAATGGAGCCATGAACTCACAAAGACTGAACCGTCAGTCAATTTACTGTAGAAGCAAAACAAAGAAATAATTGGATTCCAAAGAAGATATCAAACCTTCCTGAATTCTGTAACTATCTTATATACACAGCATCTGGAAACACATTAATAAATCAAGAAAAGCAATGAACATACTTTAACATTTTTTTTGCTAAAACTAAAGTTTTAATGGTTCATGAATGTAGACTTACCCTGTCAAGAGCTGCTTTCTCCAGTTCATTTTTGGCTACAGCTAATTTTTGTTCCAGATCAGTAAGCTGCTGCGCCTGTAAAATAAGAGATAAATCTTCTAGATACATTTTGTAATTTCCCTATATATTTTAAGCATCTGTCATATATTGCCAAAAAATTGTAAAAAGAGAGAAGGGAGAAAAAAATATATAGTGTCCTGTAAGATTCATTTAGAATTCAGGTTAAAAATACTATATATCATGATAATTTGATGTGAAGAATATTTAATATGCAGAAAATGGTAGTTCTGGATGAATATGCACTAAATGCTTCATAGACCAAAACATCTAGTTTCAAGGACCCAATTCAAGTCTCTAGGAATACTTGTGGTTTAAATCCATCACTTATATTTCTATTTGATATAGACTGAATTTTATCCCCCCAAAATGTGTATGTTGAAGCCTCAACCCCTTATTCTCACTATATTTGGAGACAGAGCACTCTTGGGGTAATTTAAATTAAATGAAGTCACAAGAGTGAGGCCCTAATTCCAGAGGACACATGTTAATGTAAAGAGAGGGAAAAAACAACAGAGATACTTATTTGCACTCACAGGTATGGGCCAAGTGAAGACACACAGAGAAGGCACAGTCTACAAGCCAGGAAGAGCCTTTGCCAGAAACTAAACATATGGACACCTCACTCTAGGACTTCTAGCATGCAGAACTGAGAGATAATAGATTTTTATTGTTTAAGACACCTAGTCAATGGTATTTTGTTATGGCAGCCAAAGTAGACAAAGGTACTAGTATGTACTCTATTTTTATTATTTTTTTTTGTTTTTTAATCCCATACACTTCTCTATCCTACCATATCTCTATACCATTATAAGTGTCATTATTGTGCTATTAGAAGAGAAAAGCAGTACCTTCAGATTTGGAAGTTATATATTCAAATCTTGCCTCCACCATTTCCCAGCTATGTGATCTTGGGCAAAGCCCTTGACTTTTCTAAACTGGAAATGGCAATACTTATTCTACACCACACTAGTCAGGCTCAAATTAGGAATATGAAGAATTGGAAGTTCTATTATCTGCATACATATAGCATTTGCACCGCCTTGCTTTATTCCATTATTGTTCCATTTACCCATTCATCCTTTGATTAATCTCTGTATTCTCCACTATTCTAGGCATGGCGCTGGGCCATGAGAATTGCTGATATTAGTTAAAACAACCACCACAACCACAACAACAACAGCCATAACAAATATTTCTCTAAATAACCTACAAACTTATATTTTTAAATTGTTTACATCTTACAGTTGATTGTGGTATCTGTTGAGAGCAAGAAAAATAAAATGCATTTAATTTTCTATATGAAAGCTGCCATTTTATTAGGTATCAAAATTCATTCAATAATTTTATAATTCAGCAAATATTACATATGTTTTAACATAAAAACCATTCTCTGAACTAATTGTAGAATAATGAAGAAAAAGAAACCCTTGTCTTTAAAAAGAGACAGAATATACATATATAAAATCAGATAGTGACAATTGCTATAAAGAAAATGAAGCTAAAAAAAGGAATAGTGTGAGAGGTTACATTAACCAACATATGCATATTGTAAATATTTACAATAAATCCAGTTTACAGTCAAACTATTGGTGGATCCCTAGAGTAATACTTCAACCCAGCCAAGATCACTGGCCCCGGGCAACTCATATATGAACATTTTCCCTATTTATTCGTTGATTTAAAAATTATATGCTTTATCATAACAATGCACTACATTATTTTCTCCTTCTCAATCTTTCTTTCCTACCAGTTGCCCCTTGCTCAATATGCTCTGGATATACTGGCCTTATTTTACCTCAAAAGTGCTAAGTTTATCTATATTGCAAGGTCTTAAAAATTCCCAGCATGATTTTCTTCTCATCATTTAGATATCTGCTAAAATTTATTTAATCATAACAGTATTCCTGATAATTCATATCTATATGAATTAATTAGCTTCTGTTGTGAAACAAAAACCCAAACTCAGAGGCTCAAAGAAGTAAGAATTTATAAATTTTATATTTAAATCACATGTATTTCATTTTATTGGTAGAAACATTATCTATCATAAATACATAGAACTACTTACGTAAAATTCCCTTTTTTAATGTGTGTAAGAAAATGCTAGTTCTAGCATTATGACAGAATCAAATTCACATATAACAATATTAATCTTAAAGGTAAATGGACTAAATGCCCCAATTAAAAGAAACAGAATGCCAAGGTTGATAGAGTCAAGACCCATCTGTATGCTGTCTTCAAGAGATGCATCTCATGTGCAAAGACACACATAGGTTCAAAATAAAGGGATGGAGGAAAATTTACCAAGCAAATGAAAAACACAAAAAAGCAGAGGTCACAATCCTAGTTTCTGACAAAATAGACATTAAATCAACAAAGATCAAAAAAGATAAAGGGTGGCATTACATAATGGTAAAGGGTTCAATTCAACAACAAGAGTTAACTATTCTAAATATATATGCACCCAATACAGGAGGACCCAGATTCTTAAAGTAAGTCCTTAGAGACCTACAAAGAGACTTATACTCCCACACGATAATAGTGGGAGATGTTAAGACCCCATGGACAATATTAGCCAAACAAAGACAATTAGGAACTTAACTCAACTCTGGATCAAGCAGACCTGATAGATATCTACAGAACTCTCCATCAAAAAACAACATAAGATACATTCTTCTCATTGCTGCATGGCTCTCATTCTAAAATTGACCACATAATTGGAAGTAAAACACTCCTTGGTAAATGCAAAGGAACTAAAATCATAACAAACAATCTCTCAGAATGAAGACTAAGAAATTCATTCAATACCACAAAAGTACATGGAAATTGAACAACCTGCTGCTGAATGACTTCTGGCTAAATAATAAAATTAAGACAAAAATGAAGAAGTTATTTAAAACTAATGAGAACAAAGAGACAATATACCAAAATCTCTGGGATGCAGCTAAAACAGTGTTAAGAAGGAAATTTATAGCACCAAAAACCCACATCAAAACACTAGAAGAATCTCAAATTAACAACCTAACAACACAACTTAAAGAACTAGAGAATCAAGAGCAAACCCCAAATCTAGCAAAAGGCAAGAAATAACCATATCAGAGCTGAGCACAAAATAACCTACAAAAAATCAATGAACACAGGAGCTGTTTTTCTGAAAACAACTAATAAATATATAGAATGCTAGCTAGACTAATAAAAAAGAAAAGAGAGAAGGCACAAATAGACAGAATCAGAAATGATCATGGAGATATCGCCATTGACCACCACAGAAATACAAAAAAACAAAAAAAATCAGAGAATACTATAAACACTTCTATGCACATAAACTAGAAAATCTAGAAGAAATGAGTAAGTTCTTGGAAACAAACAGCCTCCCAAGACTGAACCAGGAAGAAACTGAATCCATAAATAGTCCAATAATGCGTTCTAAAATTGAGGCAGTAATAAAGAGCCCACCAACCAAAAAAGCCCAGGATCAGACGAACTTACAGCTGAAATATACCATAGGTACAAAGAAGAGCTGGGACCATTTATACTAAAACTATTGCAAACAGTTGAAAAGTAAGGACTCCTCCCCAGTGCATTTTATGAGGTCAGCATCATTCTGACACCAAAACCTGGCAGACATACAACAACGAAAAAAAGAAAACTTGAGGCAAATATCCTTGATGAACATCCATGCAAAAACCCTCAATAAAATGCTGGCAAACAGAATCCAGAAGCACATCAAAAAGTTTATCCACCACAATCAAGTTGGATTTACACCCAGAATGCAAGTACGGTTCAACATATGCAAATCAATGTTATTCATCACATAAACAGAACTAAAGAAAAAAATCCATATGATTATCTCAATAGGCACAGAAAAGGCCTTTGATATAATTCAGCATCCCTTCATGTTCAACACTCTCATTAAACTAGGTATTGAAGGAACATACTTAAAAATAATAAGGACAATACTGTTGTCTTTCGCTTTAGAGAGACAGCAGAACAAAGATGGTAGGAGATGAACTTTGGAGCTGACATTGAAATTGGAGTACTAGTTTTTACCCCTTACTAATTTTCAATACTTAAATATTTAATATCCCCATGCTTAAGTTTCCTCTTCTTTAAAGATGAATAATAGTACTTAACATATAGGCTTATTGGGAGAATTAAATTAGTCAATATCTTTAAAATACTTATAGTAGTATCAGCTCAATAGTAACACATGACTATATGATAAGTAATATAGTCTATATTACCTGCCATAAATTCATCATAAAGGTAATAAATATAACAATTCAGGAAGCTTGTATCAGGGCAGGAAGAATAAATTCCAACAAAAATAGCAAATTTGCATTTGAAAGTTTTATTGCCATTCATGCCCAGGTTTTTTTTTTTTTTTTTTTTAAGGAGTCTCACTTTGCTGTCATTCAGGCTGGGGTGCAGTGGCATGATCTTGGCTCACTGCAACCTCTGCCACTCGGGTTCAAGTGATTCTCATGCCTCAGCCTCGCGAGTAGTTGGGATTACAGGTGCATGCCACCACACTCAGCTAATTTGTGTATTGTTTTAGTAAAAATAGAGTCTTGCCATGGTGGTCAGGCTAGTGACCTCAGATGATCTGTCTGCCTCAGCCTCCCAAAGTGCTGGGATTACAAGCATGAGCCACCACACCTGGCCATGCCCAGGGTTTTAATAATTTACCTTCTCTAGGAACTCATTAAACTTGGTAAAAATCCAGCCAAGAGATGTTGGGAAACCAGAGTTGAAAAAAAGGGTAAGAAAAAGTAATAAAAGGACTTGCAGATATCATCCCATATTGTAATACTTTGATCCTAGTTTGGAAAGGATACTGGATTAAATCATACAAAGCAGTCATAATTTTTTTTCATAATTTTTAAAAAATATTTCAACTCTTATTTTAGATATAGAGAGTACATGTGAAGATTTGTTATATGGGGATATTGCATGATGCTGAGGTTTGCAATGTAGATACCATCATGCTAATAGTGACTATAGTACCCAGTACG